AGACGAAAAATGAGTTGGGAAGATGATTTTCATTACTAAAAGTACGAGCACCTCAACATTAAAAGAAGAAAAATGAGTTGGGAAGATGATTTTCTTTACTAAAAGTACGAGCACCTCAACATTAAAAGAAGAAAAATGAGTTGGGAAGATGATTTTCATTACTAAAAGTAGGAGCGCCTCAACATTAAAAGACGAAAAATGAGTTGGGAAGATGATTTTCATTACTAAAAGTACGACCACCTCAGCATTAAACGAAGAAAAATGAGTTGGGAAGATTATTTTCTTTTTTAAAAGTACGAGCACCTCAACATTAAAAGAAGAAAAATGAATTGGGAAGATTATTTTCTTTACTAAAAGTAAGGCGAGAGGGGGGGGGGCGTCAGGCTGTCGAAAAATCCGCGCGGAGAGACAAACTTTAAGCTGAAACCAAGACAAGCTATACTAACCAAGACAATGCACAAAACACGCCGGCAGGCCGGCGGATTATAACAAGCAAAGGAGATGTGGTCGTAAGCTGAACACTTCTCGGAAGCAACCATCTCAGTAATGAACTGCGTGATTTGATCTTCGTGCGTCGCAGTTTTCTTGTTGCTGCGTGTCTCTTGCCTTGTTGCTGCTTCGTTTCTGTGTATTTCCTTGTCCTTGCTTCATGTTGTAATGTCGTTCTTGTGGAGTGTAATGAAAGAGTGTAAGGCCATGTAAACCCGTTGACGTTGGATCGTTGGATCAGTACCACCCGGACAACCTTGGTTTATTCGTTTGTTGAAGCCTTGGGTTGACTCTGACAGCCTAGATGCTGCGGAGGAGGCTTGGTGGTAGTCAAAGTCGATTGCTCTTGAATCGTAGACAATGAAGGACAATTTGAGTCGTCAGTGGGACCACTGGAATCTGGCTCACTTCCCTTGGCTTTTCATGACTGGTGGACCTGTCAGCCAGTCGAGCATGCCGAATCACCATACACAAACACACACACACAGCTTCGTGTCGTATTTCCACACAAGTCTATAACTTGTATATAGGGATAGATAGATATATATATATATATTTGCTGTTCAATGGCACAATGGGACGGAATGACATGCCCTACTTTCAACGTAGCATGGACATGTGCATGCTTCTCACGTTTTTGGGGTCCTGACGGGATGACGTTGCCGGTTGCACCGGGCCTCGGAGAGCGCCGGTAGCAAGCGCTAGCGCTGGTCATCGTTACAGCCATAGTCTCCATCATCTGATGTTGACGGTTGATGAATACCACAAATCTCAAGGAGATGTTTCATACATTTCAAAGGGGGGTTATACCACTCTCTTGCGGACGAGTCAGGCGCCGCAACTGTGGACACAGCTTAGCGATGTCGCGCAGCAAGTAAGGCCTCTACACGCCTTCGTCAAGGCCATGAACGAGCGAGGTCGCGAGAAAATCTCAACGGGGATCTACGACAAAAGGCCAGCGTGGACAAGTGCACCTTGTCCGCCACCAACACCGGCCATGTCTCAAACGAACAATCAACCGCTTGCAGAAGAGCATCAAACAAAAGCCTAAAAGTAGAAACCTGGGCAGCAAGGGTCCTACCAAAGAGATCTCCAGCCTCAAGAGCTGCAACATCCATCCAGTGTTGAGAAGTACTATCAACACAAATGGGTAACGAAACCTTGGTACAAACAGAAAAACCAAGAAAAATCTCAACAAAGGACACCGGAGTAAGATACTCTGCTTGCAGGCTCAAGGAAACCAACCAAGACTGAAGCGCCTCAGCAAATTGAATGCCAAAGCGCTGCAAAAACAAATTCTTCTGCAAAGCCGACCGGACATCAAGTGGCTGATCCTCCACAAAGCCCTGGTCATTGACCAAAAAGGAACTAAAAACGAAACTATCTGTACACGGCTCAGGCTGCGCGCTCAGTTCAGCAGCTAGGCCATGCTCTGCTAGGTCCAGCAAGAACAGTTGGAACTGCCGACTCAAACGGTAATGCGCAGCATGCATCTCCATCATAGCATCATAAGCCATCCGCAAGGAGCTTGGTAGTGCAGTCAAACGTGCAGCAGCCGCAGCCAGATCGGCCACCGAGTTGTGATGAATACACCAAACTTCAAATGACGAACCTGCATGCTCTATGTTCAAGTGTGAAGTAACCTTAGTCACTTGAAGCCAAGGCACCTGGGGCAAACATTGGACAATACGTTCCCAGAGATCAGCATGAGCCCAACTCCAAGAAACCACGTGTCCAGCAAGAAGTCGCTCAAGTCTTCTGACAACAAACGCAGAATCGCTATAAATATGAATTGGCACCACATGGAACGCAGCCCAAAGAAGCGATTGCAGCACAGCGTAGAGCTCGGCCCTTGCTATTCCCTGCCAGCGCCCAGGTAAAAGACCACTTGCAACAGTCTGAGTACTATTAGCAAGCTCGAAAGCCCATGATGAGAGCTGACCAATAGGATGAGTGGGCAGCTGACATGGCCCATCAGTGAAGATATGTTGGACATCACGCCCAGCCGGTTCACATTGCCAAGACACAGGGGCATCAATCAGACGCTCAAGCTCATCATGAAATCGTGGAATCCATTCATTGGCAGGAGTCCAACCATGATGAGATAAGGCGACAGGCACATCTGACCACATAGTCCAGCAGGTAGCATGGCGCTCCCTGACAGACTGGAAATACGAGCACACACAAGCCCGATGCTCCATAGTGTCCAGTGATTGTGAACAAAACGGGCAGAGCTCAGAAAAGCCAGGGTCAAATCTAGCCTTGAAGGTGTGGAGGAAGAAAGTTCCATCCCGAATAGTGGAGAGAAGTTCTCGCTGTGACACCGAAAGATTCTCAATGCTCTGGAAGGTCATGTGAAAGAAGATCAAAGAGGCCAGATGTGGGGACACGAAGGTACACCGAGAAGATGTCAGCCTGTGCCTGCTTGCAGGGCTTGGAGCCATTGCCATTGCCAAACATCAAGAAGAGCAGTACGAATCTCCTCCTCAACTGAAGGGTGGAATTTGGCGCACTGCTTGCCACAATCTTTGCCATTGCAGTACTGCAGTGACTCAACAGAACTGACCAAGGCCTTGACAGGACCAGCCACAAATGCCGACCAGTCTTCCAGTGGATACGCATCACGAAAGACTTGCACCCGAACAACCGCAGTGTCAAGCGACTGCACCACTGGAGCTCCAGATGTAGGCTTGAGCTGAACATCAACATCCCCAAGCTGAAGAAGAGTGCCAGTGAGCAATGCCGGCTCTTTGGTAGGCCGATAGATCACCGGATACTGGATCACCTTTTTCTCATGCTTGACAAGAGCATTGGAATGATCTCCCACAGTAAGTACAGCCAAAGCGTCAATGGAGAGATTCGCCGACTCCTCATCAAGCTGCTTGGCCATGTCAGGAGAAACGATGGCAATGCCCCGGGCATCACTCACAACCTCCTTGACACCAATAACGGCAACCGGGTCACCCGCATTGTCAACGAATAGATGAGGAAGCAATTCAAGATGCTCAGGACAGAGATGAAGCTCAGGCAAGGATTTGCGGCCAGACTTGCCACCCTTCTTTCCAAAGTCAGCGCCATGTTTGCTAGAAGCACGTTCAGCAATTTGGGATTGCAGCTCATTGTAGAGAACAAATTGGAAAGGGCGGCCATTGGCTGGTTGAATCTGCTTCATGGCACGCCAAGGGTCAGGTGTGCCAAGTGCCTGCTGAATGGCAGTATGTCCAAGCTTCTTGACAGCAAGCATAGCCCGATCCCGCACAAGTCGTTCTGGCACACCTTTCTGCACAAGGATCTGGCTCAAGGATTCGATCATAGCAGCATCAGGCGGCCCATTGCCACAGCGATTCTGATGTAGAAGCAAAAGACGATGCCAAGTGACATAGCGCTCCTCATCACAGGACTAGAAGAAGATGCCCAAGTGCAATGGCACCACAATGGGTACCATAAGTTTGCTGAATGCGAGTCACCACAGCCAGCTCATAGGAAGTGCATCCCAAGCAAGCATGAAACGGTTGCAAAGCAGCTCAAGATCAAACGTGTTGGGCTCATCACATCCATCATAGCAAGTGGCCTGAAGACAATCCCCAGAGCGATGAAAGCAAAAGAGCTGCCAGTGGTAGTTGGTCCACAAGATGCCATAATGCTGGGCTGCAGGGTCAGCCGAGCGTGCCCGGATCTCACATAGTGCACCTGCAACATAGGAGTCAAGCAAGCAACCCACGTGACGAGGGCCCCAGAAGACATCCGCAGGTCTTGCATGTCGAGCAAAGATAGACTGCCCTTGCGAGGTCATTGTCGGATCGTCAAGGCCCTTATTGACCCACAAAGTAGAGCAACCGGCCTCCAAAACGGGACCATTACCAACTCGAGCATGGAGACGAGTGCCACGAATCAGCTCCTGGGGATGCATCAAAACGTCCCCGTCAAAGAGCTGGAAGCTGGAAACCCCAATGAAACGCGTTTCAGCAAGGAGAAGATCTTGAACCTGCACAGGACTGCGAGCGACAAAGGTAGCATCAGGCTCATCCTCATACAGAATGCTGATCTCACGGGTTCTAAACATGCCCCGTTCAGGCCATCGCTGATGATGCGTACAAAGGATGTGGTCAAGGAAGGATCTTGGAGCCTGGTCTTTGGATGTAGAGAGCATCTGAAAGGCCCGAAGGAGATGCTGTGCAATCCAAAAAGCCTGAATAGGCGATGCAATTTGCCCAAGCAATGGTAAGTCCGTGCGAGTAGGACGAGCATACTCCCAAGAACCTGGTAGACCAAGAAGTAGCGCAGCCTCCAAAGGGTGAAGGCGCCGATCTTCCACATTCTCCCACTGCGATCTCATAAGAACACCATGCAGGCCTTGAGATTGAAGAAGCTCATAAGAGAGTGGTCCACGGCATCCACAGCTGCAATCCAAGACCTGATGGCCCATGGAATGCAACAGCGTAGGACAAATGCCATTCATGTTGAGATGCCGATTGGTGTCTCCGAAAGTCTCATCAGCAAAGACCTGCCGTTCCATGGGCTTCAACTTGAGGTCCAACTCCTCCTGTAGCGACCAAGCCGGAAAGAACCTAAAGAGATCTCGCATAGTGAGCGCAGGCTGGCTAACGTCAAGATCACAAAGATCAGGTAGAGGAAGATCAGCAGGAGCAAGAATTGCCCACCAACGCTCCCTTCTGGCAGGCCACACTCGATGGAGATGCAGGGTCACATCTTTCCATTGAAAATTCCGGAGGACACAGTAACGATTGAGGGTGTCCAGCACAAGGGGGTGAGCACCAGCACCCTTCACACATTCCAGAACAATCCACCGGGATTGCAAAACCAAAGAAAGGTCAAGCAAATGGAAAAAGCTTTGAGATCGTGGGTCACTAAATCGCAGCTTAGCACCAAGATTCCCAAATGGCTGACAGGGAAAGCCCGCTAGCTTCCCACCGGTTCCTCACCTATGGCTAAGTGGATTCTCAGCCAATCCTGCCGCGGCCCCACATCGCCAAGCATCGGATGAACATGTCGATTCCTGCCAAGGCTCTCGATAGCAATGGACTTGTGATCCAGTGCAAGAAGCGGTTCAAATCCTGCAGCAGCAAAGCCTAGAGTAGTGCCACCAAGGCCCGAAAAGATCTCCAGAAAGCGCAAAGGAGCAGCAGTTCCAGACTCTCGATGTGGTACCATCCATGAATTGGGGGTCTCTGAAAGCGAAACGACACCAGCTTTGGAAACTTTCACAACACGAAACAGGTGCAGCGATACCAGCAAATCCACATGCGGGCAGGTCACTCTGAACACCTGCTGGGTGTATGGATTGATCCAAACCCCATCCGGACGTCGTCTCACCACGAACGAACCCTCCTTCCCCAGGTCATCTGGGGTTAGAAATGCCACCAACATCGGGTCCATGAAATCACACTGGCTCAATCCGCCGCCTAAGCTGCACTATCTGTAAAGTTTGAGCCTCGCAGCTTCAAAGGGGGGTTATAAATCAATCTCTCAAACTATGCGGACCTCAGCGAAGCAGATCATGCTGGTACTGTGTAAGGGGCGGCCACCGATTGAGACGTTGAGTAATATGTTTGCATAGACATCCTTTCGGTGGGTGCACATACTATGACCTTTCTTGGTGATGACTTCTTAAGACTTGGATATATATATATATATATGAAAATGTATACAACCAGAAATCTAATGCAGCTCGTTTTATTTCCAGGATGCATGGTGCAAGTCCCAACTTATATAGAATTTGCAGCTGAGTTAGAATACTTGAGATGGGCATCCCTGTCAAATTCAGCAACTCATCCTCAGAGGACCCTCCAAACCTACCATGGTTTCCAGGCGGTGGAAACTGGCGCCGGCGCGGCAAAAACCTTTGACCCGTGGCCTTCAACACCCGTGACTTGGTCACCAAGTGTTCCGAACCAAGGTGAGCATTCAAGGTCAACTGTCCAGGCCACGTTTTGACTTTTCATTGCAACTGGGTTTCAATTCCTGACTTCCAGGGTTTTGTGTTCAAGACTGAACCACCTGGCGAAGGGAGAAATACTGGTAGTGACCTTGACAGGTGCTGATTCCGTGTCCAGGAACTATTGTCGAGTCAGCTTGTGTCGAGCATCAGTCATATTCAAGGATATTCAAGGTAATTTTACCAGTTCCACGCTATTGGGCACAGAGATGCACAAAACCATTTTTTGAGGCAAGCTTCAGGCTTTTCAAAATTTGGGGTTGCCTCTTAGAGAAAACGAACACTTGCTACAGTCTTTGGTCGCGCCCCTGAACCCTGTGTCCGGGTGTTGTCCTGTTGTCCTTTGGCCACGCTCGCGAACCCCTGTGTCCTCCTCTTCAACTTGTCCTCCTTGTTTTGTCCTGCTGTTGTCCGGCCGCGCTTGCACATGCTGTGTCACTCCTCTTGTCCCCTCTTGGTGTCCTCCTGCTGCCGAACCCTGTGTCATCCTCTTGTTTCCCAATCAGTTTAAGAAAGAAATGGCTGGTCATGAAAGCCGTGGCCGCGCCGTGGGGTTTCTTTTCCGCTATGAATACACCAATGGTGCAGCGTTTCAAGTTTGACATGTATCGGATTTTCGCATGACATATCCCTTCGCTTTTGCACATGTGACCTGGGAACCAGGAACTAAATCATTGCGTTCACTCAATTTAGCTTCCGAAACAGCTGGAAGCTACAGGAACAAAACTACGGATGTTACTACCATTGGAAATAAAGGAGTTGACGTTCAAAAATTAATGCTGACTATACTGGCCTAATTCAATTTTAACACTATGTTTTCCGCTCTTGCATGCTAGGTCCAGGTGAGCGCAAGCTGGCCGTCGCAGGAGATCCGCGGGATTGGAGATGAGTCGTTAGCGCGGTGCTTCTTTCCGTGTGGTTTATGTGGGTTGCCTTCAGAATATTGTGGCTCAGCCGCAGAAAAAGCGTTGCGGGTTGACGCATTCCTGGCAGTCCTGCGTATTTAATTGCTACAAGCCGCGTCTCCCTCGCTGACCCCATTCCACGCATCGCAAATCCGAACGCCAAGAGTTCGCCGCACCTGTCCTGCGACAGGAACCCGAAAGTCTGCCGCAGTCCGCAAAGTTGCAGCCGATTCCACATGAGGCTGGTAGATTGGCAGGGGAGGGCTTGGTCGCGAATATGCGCGCATCAGAGGAATAGTTGCCAATTGCATGTTTTACATGCTTCTATTCTCTTCCCGCTTTCCTACCTTTCGTGTCTCTCTCTTCTCAAGTTTTTTCAGCAGGATGCGATTGCCAAGTCGAGCCACAACGCATCACAACGTCCTTTCTGGCAACTTTTCTCCACATCCTAAGTTCTCTTACGATTTTGCATGTGCGTGAAGAGACATGTACAGTAACAGTAACAGTAAAGTAGGTCCAAATTGATGACCCCAAAAAATACCGCGTGAGATATCCTGGTCTTAGACCAGTGGGAACGTTCTGTAAATTTAATGTCGACACATGTCAACGCATGATCAAAAGCATTCGTTTTTGGGGAGTCAATCATGAGGATTTCCTTTTACTATCTTCAGAAGAGGGGATCCCCAAAATATATCTTCATGAGGAGAGATCCCAAAGACTAAATCTCTTCATGAACAGAGATCCCAAAGACTACACGTCTTCATGAGGAGAGATCCCAAAGACTACATCTTCGTCAGGAAAGATCCTAAAAACAAATGTTTTCTTAATTGTTTTTCCCGAGGAGGGGTCCGAAAGACTGAATCTCATCATGAGACAGTAAGTTTTGCAAAAGATTTGTCCAAGAATGGCGGACCAAACTAATTGCGGGGGGTCTATGGCATAGTTTAACAAAAGTTGGCTGGAAGGTTTTCTGGAGGGTGGTTCTTGGTTAGTATTGCAGGCAGGTATGTTGATCGTCTCTCGACATTACATAGACTACTAAGACAAAAACCCAAGATGGAGCTATGAATTGTTGTGCCGGATGGGTCTTTTGACCAGCTCCGCACGTTGCAAGATGTTGCAAGTCCTCAGGGCGCGCCGCACGTCTCATCGGAGGTCTCGCCAAGCCTGTCGCCGCCAGCGCAGGTGGGGGAGGGATTGTTTGGGCCCATGTGTTGGAAGGTATACAGGGTTTATCATTGTTTTTCATATCAGGATCTTTGATTTTGATATATCAGATTATATCAGGGATTGTTTTTGAATATTGTGTGTGTAATTGTGTGTATATTGTTGATATGTTGTTTGTATTATGTTCAGCAAGAGCAAGCTTTTAGAGTTGCAATTTTGCTTTGCAATTTTCATCATCATCAGCTGCTGTTGCCAGGAATCAGATCAAGACAGCTTAGCATTGACTGTTTGCTCCCAGATCCAACTTAAACTAGAGTTTACAACCCTGTTCAAAACTTGAGATGGGCATCTCAGAGGACCCTCCAAGCTTACCAACCATGGTTTCCAGGCGGTGGAAACTGCCGCCAGCGCAGCAAAAACCTTCGACCCATGGCCTTCAACACCTGTGACTTGGTCGATCCAAGTGTTCCGAGCAGTGTCGGGTCAAACGCATTTAAACATTACATTAAACCTTATAAGCTGTAAACTGTTTAAACATGTTTACAGCTGCTTTGGGGTTGCTTTGTTTAAGCGTGGTTAAAACAGGCTTCGGTGATGACGATGATGATGATGATGATGACGATGAGATGATTTCTGATTGAGCTGATTAATTATTTGTTTGCCGCGTGGCCATTTTGCTAGATCAAGATGGTGCCAAAGCACCTCTCCCTTAGTACTCGATGTACTCCTTTAGTGGTACTGGTGGAACCGTGAACCAACCCACACTTTTTGCGCCTCTACCCCAGAAGGCGCTTCTAGGAACTGAGAGGCAACTGTTTTTGCAAGAGGCGTTTCTGGGTTTACATAGATTTCTACCCAGTTACGTTGATAGAACGCGTGATAACCGTCAATATAGGAAATACACCACAAGCCCCGAACCATGAAACAAAACATAACGTATATGAATTCAAACATGATAAAACATGAAGCACATGAAGGCATGATAACTCACTGTGGAAAAGTGAGCACACACAACATGAAACTATATCGATAGATATATATATATACATGTGAACTGCTAATTTTCCACTTGGATTGGCCTGCGAAAAAATATTCCCACAAGTCCGGCTTTCCCCCTTCAAAACCTGCATTTCAGGCAGGTCGAACCGGACTTGTGGGGGTCTGTTTTGCAGGCCAATCCAAGTAGAAACTTGCAAGTATGAACATGATATCATGCAATATGATAAACACAAATGAAATACCTGAATCAGCACATGAAAATCACATGAATACATCAAACATGTGAAAAACCTGAAACACATGGAAGCCACATGAAAACATGAAAGCGCAGGAGAGCCACATGAAAAAGCTGAAAAATTAGACAAACATCTGAAAGTGCATGAAAAAACATGAGAGCGCGTGAAAAAACATGAAGCACCTGCAAAAACATGAAACAACGAGAGGTGGAATCCCCTGGGTAAGAGGCGGAATTTCCCGGTCATGAGTTTTTGGCATAGTGATAGTGTCAAGTCGACAGGTTGCCGCTTTCAGGCTCGTCTCTAATCCAAAGGGGAAATGGCGCGTCAGCTTCCGTGTCTTTTTGAGTTCGACCCTGATGGCTGGGTTGACATTAGTGAAAGAAGAAGAGAAACATGTGGACAAACTTGATGGTGACGATGCAACTCTGATGTCAGAAGCTCCAACGGCCGCAGGTGGGGCTCTTCATTTCTATAGGTATTGGTACTCACCTCTAGTCAGTGTTTTGGTCTGAACATGTCTGAACATTTCCTGGCTAAACATTTTACCTTGTTTTCTGCCGGCTGCAGGTGCAAATCCAGCAACTGCCTACTCCTATGAACTCTGCCTTGAATCACCTCCAGACGCCAAACACCTCGGAGAGTTACGCCGTGCCTGATGATGAAACTCAAATGGCTGATTGGGGTTGGACTCAGTTGCTAGCACGCATGATGAAACTCTGTTCGCTTGGGCTTGACCGATAATTTTTCATCATGTCGCTAGATCCAGGCGGTCGGCAGCAGCAGTGGAAGACTACCAAAAACATTACAAATGACAAGATTCCCTTCTACCAGAAAAACACGAGAGGCAGTTTTTGTTCTAAGCGGCAACTCTTGAATGGAGAGGCTAACACCTGAGCCTCTTTTCTAAGAGGCTGAGAAAAGCAACCACCGGTCACCGGAGGTTTAAGGTAAACACAACTCGTTTAAACAATCCCTATTTAAACTTGCTTAAGCACCATTTGCTTAAACAGCGTTCTGACTCAGAACTCTTGGAACAGTCGCCCACGCAAAACTCGCGCCATGTCCATCAGCTCATCATGAGTCACTGTTGGTTCTGCTTGCCCAACAAGTGATCTTCCAAAGCAAGCGTCCAAAAAGGGTGGCAGGCATGAGAGTTGCGCAAGAGTATTAGCTATAGAATATTTACATATAGGACGACATATAGACATAGACTTTAGTCCATAGACCATATTACTGCCCACCCAGATCTGCGTGCTACTGAGCACTGAGCCTTTTCGTGAGGTTAGCTTCAGGCTTTCCAAATTTCCCATGATGTTAAGTTTTTTACGCTCTTCCTTGCTAGGTGAGCGCAAGCTGGCCGTCGCAGGAGATCCGCGATGAGTCGTTAGCGCGGGTGCTTCTTTCCGTGTGGTCTATGTGGGTTGCTTTCAGAATATGGTTGTGGCGCAAAAGCCGCACCCAGAAAAAACGTCGCTGGTTGACGCATTCCTGGCAGTCCTGCATATTTAATTGCTACAAAACGCGCCTCCTTGTTGACAGGCCCATTCCACGCATTGCCGTCCCCCACACCTCTCTTGCGACAGGAGCCCGAAAGGCTGCCAGAGCCCGAAAAGATTCCACCGAAGGAGCCACGTGAGGCTAGCATTTCCAGCGCAAAGTGGTTCTTCATTCTTTGAGATGTTTCCCAGTTTTTTGGGAAACCTCTACAGGACCATAACCAGGGCAATCCTAGACTATTGGGGGGAATAAAACTCCTGATGATGGAGATGAATAGTTCCGCCGGACGGAACTGTTTGACCAGCTCCGCACGTTGCAAGTTGCGCAGGTCGCGCCGCAAGTCTCATCGGAGGTCTCGCCAAGCATTTCACCGCCGGCGCAGGTGGCGGAGGGATTTGTTGGGGTCTATGTGTTGGAAGGTGGGGGGGTTCTCAATTGTTAATACCGGTTTATCATCTCAGTGATGTTAAAGTTGCATACGTTGATGTTTCGTATTTTAGACTATTTTAGTTTTCTATCGGTTCCGCGCAAATGGCACTCATATAAGATCTTATAATAGATCTCATATAGAAGTTCCATTTGGACGATGGGGCGTTGAACTTGGGTTCCTTGATATCCCTTTCACCATTTGTTGTTTCCGAAACATCCATGGTGGATAAGAAATTCAAGAACTTCAACCGTCAACCCACCGGTGCCAAGAAGGAAGCAACATTGATTCCAACCGTCAAACGAGAATGCATGAGCGTGCAGGAACCATCTCTATCCACACATTGACTTTGCTCTTCCAAATGTCCAGTTCGATTTTATATCAGGGTAGACGGTTTGTACCTGAGTTAAAATACTGGCGATGGAGATGTTCATGTTTGATTTCTGTAAACCAGTGACCACGGCAGATCCAGCAACTCATCCTCAGAGGACCCTTCAAACCTACCATGGTTTCCAGGCGGTGGAAACTGCTGCCGGTGCGGCAAAAGCCTTTGACCCGTGGCCTTCAACACCTGTGACTTGGTCAAGCCAAGTGTTCCGAACCATGTAGGTCCAGGATCACACCTTCAAAAAACAAATCAGTTACTGTATGAGCAAATGTCTATGCAGATGCTGGTTTCCGGCTCAATGACACATTAAATACTAGTGACTTTGGACTACTGCTGCTTCCGTATCAAAGAATTTTTGAGACAGCTTGTGTCGAGTATGAGTTAAGGAGTAAAATCAAGTGTTTGTTCTGTGTGCTGGTGAGCACAGAGATGCACAGAGCTTATTTTCGGCAGGCAAGCTTTAGGCATTCCAGGGTTCCCACATGTTTTCACCATATTGTTGGCTTTTTCCACTCTTCCATGCTAGGTGAGCGCAAGCTGGCCGTCACAGGAGATCCAGGATTGGAGACCAGTAGTCACCGCTTCCCTGGTGTTGTAAACTGTAAACCCTTGATGAAATGAAGGGCTCGACTCAAATCCATAAACGTTACATGCCTCAAATTGCAGCCAGCTCTTGCGTTATATGTCAGAGAGTGCAATGAACTGCCTGACGTGGGGAAACGCGTTATGGAGCGCCGAACCAATGTGGCTTGCCTCCAAAATCTCCAAAATATGGATTGCTTTTTTCCTGCGCGGATGTATCAGAGAGTGAACAGTCAAGGACTCGGCAGAACAAGCGGAACGTGCGATCCAGTGGCCAAGCGTGGAGGCAGATGGGGTGAGTTGTGTGTGTGGGGGCGCGCGGTGCTTGTGCGGGTGCATTGGTAGGAGACACGGGGTTTCCAGGTGTTCATACAGATAGAAGCTGGTCACTGTTCAAAGGTTTGGACAAGCGCCCCATTCAGCCACATTCAGTCGACTGCAAATACTTGGGGTTACCACAGAGCAGGATTTGAATTATCGCCCCGCTTCAAGGTCAACAAAGTTTGAGATTGGAGGTATTGGAGACCAGATCCCTTAAAAGGTGATTCCCTGATGATGGATGATGGCGGTTTGGGATTTGTGTAAACCATGAGGTCTGTTTGAAAGCCTTAAGATGTTGATAGAGTTTTAATACGGGAAAACATTGATAAATTTCTAGAGGGTTTGTAGGGATTGTGGAACAAGGATTGCTTGGGAGAACATTGGCAGCTTTGATTGCAGCTTTCACCATGGATCCTTTTCAACTATATTATATAGGAATAGGAAGATATTGAACGACATATGGACAAACCCTATTTGTAGTTGTCTGGTGGCAGATGGGCTTGATTCATGCGGGGGTTCTCCGAGAAAAAACATTTGAGAGGGGTGCCAATGTGGAGGTTGAACGCTTTTAAATTAGTTTTTTGATAGATCTTATTGGGCGCTCGAGCTGGGCTTGGTTAATAATAGGGGGAGGCTCCTTAATCCTATGCGTGCATTACCTAGTAGGTGGTTCTAGTTTGGATGGTTGCTACTCTAGTATGAACAGGCTAGTCTTCGCAAGAAGACGATAGAAAAGGTGTTCTTTTCCGGGAGCTCTGTGTGAAGTGCTATGGACTTGTTGAACATCAGGTGGTCCTAGGTTTGGTTTGATGTGAACCCATCAACTGTATCAGTATGACACCTTTTTCTGTGCATTGAGGTCCCACCGGCTCCTGAAGCTCAGGAGGGGCCGGACGCTGCGTTTGAAACCAGTTTTGAGCTCACGTCGTGTCTTTTTCAAGCCCTTTGTTTTTTTTGTAGTTTGGTAGCTTGCGTTGCGTTTGTTTGGAAAGACGAGGCCCCTAGCAACAAGTCTTGATTGACGAGAGTTTGTGCGTCAAAACAATCATAATAGGTGAGTGAGGAGTTTGCAGATGTCCAGTTTAGAGGAGTCCACGGCGGTTCAGCAGTAGCCGGGGGAGCGACTTTTATTTCTTTGCTGTATGTGCCAAATAGAAGATTGGCAGCTTGTTATGCATGGACCATATGCATTTAGCTAAGAATTTGTGAAAGGACCAAACATCAGGTGTACCGCTCACTTGCTCCGTCGTTGGAGTGCAGGAGATCACACAAACGCTGCTGGAGGCAAGGGCCAAAAGCTGTGCAGCTGTGCGGGGCTGGGTCGGAGCCCGTCGCAGATGTCGTCGAACTCCAAGAAACAAACATTTGTCACTTTTCACATTTTTCACACCTGTCCTGCGACAGGAGCCCGAAAAGCCTCAGCCGATCACACTTGAGGCTGGCACGAATACGCGCAGGTAAGTAATACGCGCAGGTCAGAGAAAGGCCACTCAGATTATAGAGACCTAGCCTGGGGCATTTGGTGGTTGGTCTCATGGGTGAGATTGGCAAGTCAAGCCATGTCAAGCCACAAGCATCACAGCGCCCACTCTGACAGGATTCCTCGACGTCCTTATTTTGTTTCCGCATGATTTGGGCACGCGTGAAAAGACAGTCCATATTGAAGACTTTGGAAATGTATGGATAGGATAGATTTGCCAGACTATTGGGAAACCTCTACATACTTGTAGGACCATAATCAGAGCAATCCTAGACGACTGGGGGAAGAAAACAACCGATGGAGCTCTGAGTAAGTTCCGCCGGATGGATCTTTTGACCACTTCCGGACATTGCAAGTCGCGCAGGTCGCGCCGCAAGTCTCATCGGAGGTCTCACCAAGCCTGTCATCGCCCCCAGCGCAGGTGGGGGAGGGAGTATTTGCGCCATGTCACACGTCAAGTGTTTGAAAGGTCCAGGTACAGGGTTTATCAAGTTGTTCATGGTTCATCATTTCAGGGATAGTTTTTGATTATTCTTGTGTAAACCTTGATATAAATCATATAACACATGTTTGTTTCCGCACAGATGGCACTCATATATATAGAGCTGTTCCATTTGGACGCGTTGAACTTGGGTTCCTTGATATCCCTTTCACCATTTGTTGTTTCCGAAACATCCATGGTGGATAAGAAATTCGAGAACTTCAACCGTCAACCCACTGGCGCCAAGAAGGAAGCAACATTGATTCCAACCGTCAAATGAGAATGCATGAGCGTGCAGGAACCATCTCTATACACACATTGACTTTGCTCTTCCAAATGTCCAGTTCGATTTTATATCAGGGTAGACGGTTTGTACCTGAGTTAAAATACTGGAGATGGAGATGTTCATGTTTGATTTCTGTAAACCAGTGACCACGGCAGATCCAGCAACTCATCCTCAGAGGACCCTTCAAACCTACCATGGTTTCCAGGCGGTGGAAACTCCTGCCGGTGCGGCAAAAGCCTTTGACCCGTGGCCTTCAACACCTGTGACTTGGTCAAGCCAAGTGTTCCGAACCATGCAGGCCCAGGATCACACCTTCAAAAAACAAATCAATTACTGTATCAGCAAATGTCTACGCAGTTGCTGGTTTGCGTCTCAATGAAACATGCAAGTCTAGTGACTTTGGACTACTGCTGCTTCCGTATCAAAGATTTTTGAGCCAGCTTGTGTCGAGTATGAGTTAAGGAGTAAAATCAAGTGTTTGTTCTGTGTGCTAGTGAGCACAGAGATGCACAGAGCTTATTTTCGGCAGGCAAGCTTTAGGCATTCCAGAGTTCCCGCATGTTTTCACCATATTGTTGGCTTTTTCCACTCTTCCATGCTAGGTGAGCACAAGCTGGCCGTCACAGGAGATCCAGGATTGGAGACCAGTAGTCACCGCTACCCTGGTGTTGTAAACTGTAAACCCTTGATGAAATGAAGGGCTCGACTCAAATCAATAAACGTTACATGCCTCAAATTGCAGCCAGCTCTTGCGTTATATGTCAGAGAGTGCAATGAACTGCCTGACGTGGGGAAACGCGTTATGGAGCGCCGAACCAATGTGGCTTGCCTCCAAAATCTTCAAAATATGGATTGACTTTCCCCGTGCGGATGTATCAGAGCGTGAACAGTCAAGGACTCGGCGGAACAAGCGGAACGTGCGATCCAGTGGCCAAGCGTGGAGGCGGATGGAGTGAGTATGGGTGAGTTGTGCGAGGCGCGTGGCGCTTGTGCCGGTGCATTGGTAGGGGAGAGGAAGCCCAAGTATGGATACAGAATGTCATTGTTCAAAGGTTTGGACACGCCCCACATACATCCACATTCAGTCGACCGCAACTACTTGGGGTTGACCACAGAGCAGGATTTTGGTACCTACGCTGCCTATGCTAGTACTAGGTCCGCTTGTATGAACAGGCTGGTCTTAACATTTATGGAAAACGTGTTCTTTTTCGGGACCCCTGTGTGGATTCCCGTTGGACCTGTTGAGCTGGTCAAACACATTTTGGGTCCTACTGGGTTTGGTTTTGATGTGAATCCATCAAGAGTATCAGTATCGCACCTTTTCTGTGCATTTGAGGTCCCACCAACACCTGAAGCTCAGGAGGGGCCGGGGCGCTGCTGATTGAAACTAATCTTGAGTTCACAGCATGTTTTTTTCAAGCCCTTTGCTTGTTTCTTTGTAGTAGTTTGGTAGCTTGCATTGTGTTTGTTTTGGAAAGAGGCCCCTAGCAACAAGTTTTGATTGAGGAGTTTGTGCATCCAAATTCAAAATAATCATATATATATATAGTTACAATAGGTGGGTCAGTCAGGAGCTTGCAGGTATCCAGCTTACAGGAGTCCAAGGCGGTTCAGCATTAGCCGGGGGAGCGACTTTGCTGTATGTGCCAAACAGAAGATTGGCAGCTTGTTATGCATGGACCATATGCATTTAGCTCAGAACTTTGTGAAAGGACCGAACATCAGGTGTACCGCTCACTTGCTCCGTCGTTGGAGTGCAGGAGATCACACAAACGCAGCTGGAGGCAAGGGCCAAAAGCTGTGCAGCTGTGCGGGGCTGGGTCGGAGCCCGTCGCAGATGTCGTCGAACTCCAAACAACAAACGTTAAGTTAATATTTATAACTTTTCACATTTTTCACACCTGTCCTGCGACAGGAGCCCGAAAAGCCTCAGCCGATCACACTTGAGGCTGGCACGAAGCAGGTCAGAGAAAGGCCAAACATCAGATTATAGAGACCTAGCCTGGGGCATTTGGTGGTTGGTCTCATGGGTGGTGTGTTCAAGTGGCTGCTTGGGTTGTGGCTGCCGTGGCTTGTTGTGGCGACATGTTCAACTTACCGGAGGATGAGATTGGCAAGTCAAGCCATGCCAAGCCACAAGCATCACAGCGCCCACTCTGGCAGGATTCCTCGACGTCCTTATTTAGTTTCCGCATGATTTTTGACGCGCAGCATCGCGCAGCAAAATGACATGAAACAGTAGGTTCAAATTGACGATATCAGAAATGTATGCATCGGGTAGGATCTTCGTTTTCTTAGATGCATCCTAGACTACTGGGAAGCCAATGGAGCTATGAATGGCCGCGCCGGATGGATCTTTTGACCAGTTCCGCACGTTGCAAGTCGCGCAGGTCGCTCCGCAAGTCTCATCAGAGGTCTCACCAAGCTTTCCGCCGCCGGCGCAGGTGGGGGAGGAGTGATTGCGGGGCCTTGTCATGTGTTGAAAGGCACAGGATTTACCACGGTTTATCGTATCAAATATTGTTCTGTTGAATACTATACGTGCGCGTGTGTTTCTTTGTTTGTGCTATCATGTTTAGCAAGTTTTTTGCTTAGCGGTCGTCATCATCAGCAGCTGCTGTTGCCGGGAAGCAGAAAATACGCCAACTAACTGAGCAACCAATCGAAACTCTATCGCAGCTTTGCCTACCCAGTTTTGCGTTCGTCCTCTCCTTACACCATCCGGCTGTAAAAGAATCAAAGTCACAGGAACAACTCTTTAGAATTTTGCAAAGACCAGCAGCCTTAAAACTAGTGATTCAATGCAAGACTTTGTTAGGCTTCTGGGGTTAAGTTATACAACAGCCTTAATTACGGCCTAATGGCGGGCGACGGGCGAAGTGGCACGTACCAAGAATTGCCCAACAGTAAGCCCGCACACACACAGATGGCACTCATATGGAGCTGTTCCATTCGGATGATGGGGCGTTGAGCTTTGGTCCCACTTTGGGTCCCTTGATATCCCTCACGCCATTTGGGTTCGTGTCAACACGAGAAAGAGACCCGAAGCACTGAAACTCCCATGGTGGAGGAGAAATTCGAGATATTCAACCGTCAACCCACCGGGCCAAGAAGGAATCAGCATTGATTCCAGCCATAAAAAGAGAATATATGAGCACGCATGAACCATTGAATATCTATCTATGACTGTACACTCACATTGACTTTATTTCCAAGCTCAACTGGATCCCTGATTGAATCCACAAACAGGCCTAGGGTCACTTTTACGGACCTGCTCGTGCCAGGTTTCAAAGGTGGAGGACGAGGATGGTGCCCTGGTGGGTTTGAGACAGAAGCCATGCCCTGCCTTTTTGGGACGTTCTTTGGGCAAATCGTTCCGGGGTACTAGGTATAGGTGGTTTAAGTCACCTGGGCTGGACGGAAGTCGTCTAGAACCCCTGTGCCCTTGTAGTTGGGAGTTCAGCGTTCCAAAATGCACCACGTCGCTTGATGCCCGCTGTGCATCATATGCCCGATAGTGCCCAACAATTGAATGGTTTTTTCCAACATTGCCAGTTTGATCTACTTCAAGGTAGAGGTGCAAGTTGCAACTTAGAGCTTGTAAACGAGTTCAAAACTTGAGATGGGCATCTCATCTCAGAGGACCCTCCAAACCTACCATGGTTTCCAGGCGGTGGCAACTGCCGCCGGCGCGGCAAAAGCCTTTGACCCGTGGCCTTCAACACCCGTGACTTGGTCAAGCCAAGTGTTCCGAGATGTTCCGAGCCAATTGCGCCAACCAACAGGAGAGTGGGCGTGACAGGCCAACTGTCCAGGCCACCTTTTGACTTTTCATGGTGACCGCAGTCAGCTCCGTTTTGTCATCAAGACCGAACCATCCGTCGCATTTGGAAGAATATACTACTGGTAGTGACCTTGACAGGTGCTGTTTCCGTGCCCAGCTTGTGTCGAGTATCAGTTGAATTGACAGTTTTGCGTGCTACTGAGCACCGAGTTTTGTTGAGGAAAGCTTCAGGCTTTCCAACTTTCGACGCTGATATTAAGTTTGTTGTTTTTTGCTCTTCCATGCTGCTAGGTGAGCGCAAGCTGGCTGTCGCAGGAGATCCGGGATTGGAGATGAGTCGATAGCGCTTTCTTGGTGGTTCTTCTTTCCTTGTGGCCTATGTGGGTTGCCTTCAAAATATGGTTGTGGCTCAGCCACGCCGTGCCCAGAAAAAGCGTTGCGGGTTGACGCAGAGACCAGGCCCGACGGGTCATGGAATCCAACCGCAAGTCATGTCCCACACACCTCGACGGCGACAGGAACCCGAAAAACTGCCAGAGCCCGAACAGATTCAGCCGAAGGAGCCACGCGAGGCTTGTGTTGGTCATGAATATGTCGGCAGCAGTGGTTAGGACATATTTAGCTGAATTTAGCTTTGAAAAGTAATTTGCTTAGATTTGCAAAACAGTTAATACGTATATTTAGCTGTTGTCAAACAGGTAATTAATAAGTATACGTCACACATGGCACTTAAATGAATAAATGGATGAATGAAGGAAGGAAGGAAGGAAAGAAGGAAGAAAGGAAGGAAAGAAAATACACAAAGGAAAACAAAAAGAACCATAACACCCATTTAGAACTGATTCATCAAAAAGGAAATGGCTGCGCAACCCGGGCAACTGAACAGCACAGCTCTGTAGGCTGGCCACTCCCAGCAGCACAGGGCATGCGCAACCCTGGCCACTTGCGAGCACACTCACAGCAGCACGGGGCACGCGCAACCCTGGCCACTGTAAGCAGCATAGCTTTGTAAGCTCCAGCACGACAGCCGTAGAATCAAGGGAAGCCAAAAACCACAAAAGCCAAAAGCCAACAGAAGCCACCAAAAGCCAACAAAGAAGCCACCAAGAGCCAACAAAGAAGCAAAAGCAGAAAACCAAGAGCCACCAAAAGCCAAAAGCCATCAAAAGCCAAAAGCCACCAGGCATTCATTCATTCAGGGTGGTATATTTCCGTGGGATATGTATTTTTTGTGTGGGCTGTGGGATATTGTTTGGCTTAGCTGGAGGAAGGAAGGTCGGAAGGAATGGAGGAAAAAACACAATGGAAAACACGCAAAACAAAAAAAATAGAAAAACACGCGCAACAAAAAAAAAATACCCAAAAACTCACCACAATAATCAACAAATCCACGGCCATTAATACGTATAAGTCACACGTGTGGCACTTGCTGAAGTACATACAGTATATAAGTGCACACAACCTACGTAGCAAGTACACTTGGAGCGCTTATAACATGGATACTCTGAAAACATGTTGATTTGTTTTTGCCCCTCTCAGCCTCTATAATGCTATGCTTCCTAAGTGCATACAGGGTACCATTGAGTTGTTGAACATCAACGCTTCCGTTTTTGCACGGCTGCGCTGCTTGCAAGATTGTGGGGAAGATTGTCCTAACTGAATGTCACTGTTGGCCCGCTTGCAGGGTGGCTCCCAAGCAGGAAGTCCTTGTTGAACAGCAAAGGTGCTCTTTTTGGGGCTGTAGGCTGTAGTCATAAGACACGACAGGGTTTCTGGAGTGCCTACTGTCAATGTTGGCATGATTTCAGGGCCGCGCTCGCAAGATACAAGGCTCCTTGCTGATGTCACTCTTGAAAGCTTGCAGTCTTTGTGTAACCGTGAATGGTGAAGTGACATGTCCAACTAACACTTGGTGGTGGGCGAGACCACTTGAGCCATTGTTTGTTTTGGACACTTTGGCTCCATCCGGTTGTTTGTGCCATGTTTTTGGAGTGCCTGCTCTTGCTGGCATTCGGGCTTGGCCTTCCCGTTGGCTGGTGGTGGACGCGTTGTCGCCGGCTTGTTTGCTGCATCTCCTGGGAGAGTGTTTCCCAGGCTTGGTCCGACCACTACCGAATTGGCCGCCTCGCATAGACTGACTGATGTCCCTCCACAGCCACGGCTCCGGAGAGAGAGAACTCACAGAGGCGCCGGGAGTGGTGTCGATCCCAAGTAGTGACGTAACTTGGTGCGGTAAGTATTTGGTATGTTCGCAGTGGGTATAGTAGGTATATGTATTTTAAACTGACGTGTGTTTGGAACGATGCATGTAATATCTGTGTGCCACTTGCAGATACGAACATTGATACGAACATCAATACTCGTGCTATAGCCGTATTTGCAGTTGTTACTGGGTGGTACGACCGCCATTGTAACCGAAGAGAACAGTCAAGTATACATATATATATATATGTATTATAAGGCTGTCAACGGACTTAGCAGCGCATGTGGCGGTTGGTTTCACGGGTGTGAACTTCTGGTCTTGCGCCGATGTTTCATGTGTGCAAAAATACATGCAACCGCAGAAGTAGGTCCACTTGATGAACTCGGACATGTAATTATGCGTAGGGTGGGCTCTTTATTTGTTGAACACTTCTTCATAGGACCATGGACCATCAGGCAATCCGAGACTACAGGGGGAAGAAAACCAAAGATGGAACAATTCATTGTTTCGCGGGATGGATGTTTTTGACCAGCTCCGCACGTCGCAAGTCAAGCAGGTCATGGCGCAAGTCTCATCGGAGGTCTCGCCAAGCCTTCCGCCGCCGGCGCAGGTGGGGGAGGGTGGATTGCTGGGGCCATGTCAAGTGATTGAAATGTACAGGGCTTATCATGTGTTTTCAAAAAATGTGTGTATATATATTAAACAAATATATACCTACCTTATATACCTTTATATATCGTTATATTTTGATTGTGGGTTTACGAAGAACACACAATGGGAGTCGGTGTTGCTATATATGGTTGTAGCATCATCATCAGCAGCTTAAGTGTTGTTGCCGGGAATCAGGACAAACAGGACCGGAACAATCCTGAGTGAACCCGTCGCTGTCGCACCGTTCCTATCCAGTTTCGCGTCCCTTCTCTCCTTACATGGTCCGGCTGCAAACACGCAACAGTCATGGGAAAGTTTCCGGAATATACATACATATGCACCCGGCAGTCTTGAAAGGTGATTCAACGCAAGACTTTGATTAAACAAATAGAAGAAACAGCCTTAATTACGGCCTAACGGCGGGCGAAGTGGCACATGCAAAGAATTGCCCAACGGTATAACTGTTCCATTAGGCGTTTATGGACTTGGCAGCGTGTGGGTTCGCCTCGGCATAAGAAATATTACCAAACAAAAATTGTTGTTTGAACATTTTAGGCCACATCCCTGGAATGGATCAACGTTGATTTTTCCCCCACACACCTTTTTCCTCCTGCGATTGCGTATGGCTTTGCCTGTGAGACGCTTCGCACCTAATTCATTATAATACTAATTAGACAGTTAGTAAAGATATAAAGGCCCATTAGCCGTCAGCGCCGACAAGGGCTACTTCCAAACCAGCGATCGGGCTCCTTCGGGCATGTAGCGTGCTGGAGCGAACTGGAACAAAACTGAAAGGGCAGAGGGGTCAGCAAAAAAAACAGAGGCGGACTCTGTGCTGACCTATGCTAAGATGGATTGACAAGGCATCCGTGCCGAACAGTGGCGGTCTGTATACAGTCTATACATTCCATTATATTCCATTCATGCCATGCTATTCCTGCTGACACGCAGGCGATCACATGGCCCTTACCACGCCTTGCGCATTGTCTATAGAGAGCCTCCAAGTTTCCTTTTCTGGCTTTGGCAAGCCAGCGATTGGAGGGATTGAAGACCGCATCCCCTTAATAAAGGTGATGACCTGATGATGGATGATGAGATGAGATGGAAAAGGGTGGATCAGAAGATATCAGAAGATCAGTTTCACCATGGACCAGAAGATATTGGACACTGCCAAACAAATATCAATTTAGAGTTAGAATCGTAAACTAAGTGCTTTTTCTGGGGGAGCTGGGCTTGATTGATAGGGGGAGGTTTCGGCCAGGAGAAAGTTATTAGGGGGATGTGCAGGTGGAAATTCAGGCTTTAAACTAGTTTAGTATTGGAGGCTCCAGCTGGGCTTGATTAATAATGGGAGGTTACTCAATCCTGAGCGCGCATTACTCTGAAGTACTGCCGGGACTCTAGAAAGCCACCTCGCTTGGTGCTTTGGAGTTCATAGGTGAAGACACCGTCGGAAGCCAGCGCCAACTTCCAGTCAACAAGTCTGATAAAAATCGGAACCAGCGAGTCGAGCGCGGAGCAACCCCCCAGGCAAAAAAACATGGCAACACATGCCACTGCGGTTATGAGTTGTTCAAACTTCACTAACAAGCCCGAGCGCTGTTCCACACACCCGGCAAACGAAAAACGTGAACACTCATTGAGTTTGCTTCCAAATCCAACGGGATCACTTAATCCCAATTTGAACCCATTCACTTTTGCCCGATTCGGAGGGTCATTGTCAGGACCCCGCTATCCCACTTGCTCCAGGGTTCCAAGATGGTGCATTCCTTTGTTAGATGGTGCAAGTTCCAACTATGGGGTTCCAGGCGGTTGAAGCTGCCGCCGGTGCACGGAAAGCCTTTGACCCGTGGCCTTCAACACCTGTGACTTGGTCGAACCAAGTGTTCCGAACTCCGAACCATGCAGGTCCAAGATCACAAGATAGTTCATGATTTCAGTCAGCAACTAAAGGCAATGACCAAACCACAGGGATTGACAGAAACTTGACGGAATGGACCTCACTTGAGAAGGTCTGTAACCGCCCCGCGGAATTGCACGTTTTCCAGTTTTTGTTGCCCATCAGAGTGACGAGGGTGCTCTACCCGATAGGAGAAACCACCAACAAGCAGAGATGGTCATTTGATTGTGCTCGATGCATTTTTCATCCTTCAACCATTACCAAACTCAACTATTGCCGAACCACAGGTTCCTATCAGAAACCTTAGGTAGATCATGAGAGGGGTCCCTTTTTATGTATTCTTGGGTGAAGCGCCATTGTGTATTTCATGGGCGTTTCGGGCCCGTCTCGCGCGTCAGAGATGGAACGCTCAAGGACTCGCCAGAACAAGCGGAAGGTGCGATCCAGTGGCCAAGCGTGGAGGCGGATGGAGTGAGTATGGGTGAGTTGTGCGAGGCGCGTGGCGCTTGTGCGGGTGCATTGGTAGGAGACACCTGAAATCCAAGTATCCATACAGATAGAAGCTGGTCACTGTTCAAAGGTTTGGATGC